GAATCGGGAATACATATCGCAGCACCACTCCTGCGCTACACGGCTGTTACGTGCAAAGATTGGTTCAGATAGGAGGCGTTGCCGACAATAATATAAGAATGGTACATCTTTGGTTCCAGCACGGTTCATGGTTTGCGACTTGTTTGGGGGGGTCTCGCTGTAGTGACCACTGCTCCAGCCGCTCTCACCACTGTTAAGGGGGGGGGGGGACATTCAATGTTCCGGTTCGCGTGGGGGGTGCATATAGGAATTAGAGTAGTCGGTTCCGCCGCAGCCTTCAGACCACTCTTTCCAGCGTACCATGGGAGCAGCCGGCGACGTGCTGGCCCAAACAACCGGTAAGTACTGATCAATGCATCGTGGAGGTGCCCCCCGTGACTGCTGTTCGTTCTTTTTTTGCGTGGTCAGAGAGTTTCGTGGCGATGTTGCTCTGCTGTGAGTTCTGCACGCCTGGATTCGGCAGGAACCCGTGTCCCCCCTCCCAAAAACGCGGAGAACCGCCGGTTACATGTTTTTTTTTGTTACGGTTCACGGCCCCCCTAACCTATAGGGTGCCCCCCCCCCCTTAAACAAACACGGGAACTGTCAAGGTTCGTAGGCAGGCGAGTATAGGGGTAAAAAACGAGGTTTGTTGTCGGGGCTGTTCCTTGGATAGGTGATGATCGGCTGAGTAGAAGAGCAATGACTCTTCGAGGGGTACAATATTGCGGCGATTTCAGGGGCTTGAGGTGGGCCGAGGACGTTGGGGTCGTCGACTCTACTTGCTTCTGCGAATTCTATTTTCAGCGGGTTCTGAGGAAGTAGACTAGTATTACTCCGCAATACCTCGTCTACAGCACTTTTGTCTTGCACAGCCCATGGTAGGTTGTTTCGGAAGTAGGATCGCAGAGACGCAGCTGAATCGGCGTGTACCCCGGTTTCGTAGACGTGACGCCACAGAGAACCGGTAGAACCGTGTCTTGCGCGCTCGTTGCCGCGACGCCACGGCCGCCCCAAGCGCGAGGCGCACCCGGGTAGGGCGCTCGCAACGCAGGGCTACCGGTAGGCGCAACTCTCGCGGCGAGGCGAGGTCTAGGAGTCACGAAATCACGCTCCAAGCGCTGAGAGCGAAGGATCTTAAGTAAAGCGCTGAGAGCGAAGAACCTTATTTATGAATGTATGTTGTAGACTATGTTTATGGGCAACACAACGAGTAGCTCGGTTGCTGACGTTTAGGGTACGCGGGGTCACAACAGACAGGAACCAAATCTGTTGTCTATTTTGAAACGGTTCAGGTTATCGTGCAGTTTCAGTTTCACCCTCGAGGGAGAACAAAATGAGAACGAACAACTAATAATACTTCGTTTCACATCGATTTCGCAATATTTTTTATGTCGACAGCACGACTTGGTTCGTTACAAAGAAAAGCAGAATGCGTATTGTATGTGTGTGGTGCCCCCTCAGCCCCTCCGCAAGTCGAAACAAAAGCCCAAGATCTATAATACCAGAACCAGAGGTGGAGTGGCAAAGCTCACAGCATATCCATCCCAAGGCCCAATAAAGTTGACACAAAAACATCGCAACCCTCTGGTCCATATATACCAGGTTGCGGCAATAGATCGTATTTTTCTGCGGCCATACTCTCACAGCACACGGGCGAAAGGGACAAGACGCCCCTGTATGCCACAACAAGTGAACAGGTCGCGTGTCCCCCGCAGGCCTGCGCTCACAGGAACTCCAGGCGGTGGATGGTGTGTTAACGCAGGTTTTTGTTGGTGTTTGTCGACCACCCCGCCGAACACATCACACACAAACGGTCATCATCAAAAGAGTAGCTACACGCAAGGACACGCTGAGGGTCGGGATACAAAGCTGCTATCAAAGACGATGACGGTGGTGGTACCCGAAAACACCGCGTGCCACGAAATACGTACGTGGCGAATGACACACGCAAGGACGGTCGTGTGTCCACCGTGAACGAATCATTTGTTTCCAATAAAAACATGGCGTCTCACATGCACTCACTCACTCAGTGCCTCTCAACACTTCGTGCGTCCTGCACGATATAGCAGCAGTCACCGTCAAACGTGTCGACTTCAAAGACTCTGACCACAACCTCGTGCTTACGACTGTCCGCCTCCCCCCCCGTGTCGCACCCAATCGACGAGTGCGGGGGAACAGCGGAAGCAGCCGGATCCGTATCGACCTCGAGCGGTTGAGGAAGGACAAACACCTACGGGTCGCCTTCCAAAACAGGGCCTCCAGCCGCCCTCCGCCCACGGCGCTCAGGCGGCCAACGGGAGAGACCGCCGCCGAGCTGACGGCTACGGTGATGTCGGCCGCTGCTGAGACCGCGCCGCTGGCGAATTGCGCACAAGGGCAGAGAGGCTGGTACACGAGCGAAGCGCAGCACGAGATCTCTGACGCGTCGAAGGAGATTAAGGCGGCCCAGCAGCAACTGCGCGGGGCCTCAAAGAACAGCGCCTGCGAGGCGACCCTCAAGGCGATGCTCAAGGCGGCGAGGAAGAAGCGCAGCATCGCGAGGTGGAGAGCACTGGAAACGTTCTTCGAGGGCTATGTACGGCAGCTCGAGAAGAAGAGCCGCGAGGGGGATCAGGCGGGTTTCTACAGGCACCTGAAGATGATCGACGTCGAAGGTAAGAGGTCGTTCACCTCTCAGAACATCAAGGACGAGGACGGCAAGGTCCTTGGGGACCCCACGATTATTCGCCAACGGTGGGCACGGTGGTTCCCCAAGCTTCTCAACACCAAGTCGCCGACCATCGACCTGCATGCGGCTGACAAGGTCAAGCGGTGGCCCACGTGCGTGCCACTCGACGACATCCCATCTCTACTTGAGGTTGAGGAAGCGGTACGGGAAATGGCCAACAGAAAGGCCGTCGGGCCGGACGACCTACCGGCTGAGCTGATCAAGCTTTTCCTGGACGGAGATCAAGGTTTCCTCCGCGAATTCCACGCCATTGTCGTGGACGTGTGGCAGACTGGCGACGTAGCACAGCAGTGGAAGGATGCCACCATCAAAGTGCTGTTCAAGAAGGGAGCCACGATGGAGTGCGGCAGCGGCAACTACCGGGGCATCACGCCGGCAAGGTGCTGCTGCTTAAGGTCGTCGCTACACGACTGAGCCACTACTGCGAGCGAGAGGGCATC